TATTCGAGCCGCTGTTTGCTGGATGTGATCAAGTGGAATGAGCTGGCAATGAGGTGTCACAGCCTGGAGATGAGAACCGTATTCCATGTGAGGCCAAACCTGCATCTAAAGATTTGACTTCAGGCACAAGTTTGTTCCGGTACTCGACAACGTGTTCTCGAGAAACATTGGTACGGTCGATGTAAAATACATCATCTGTGCTGTCATCCGTATACCAATGAATGTTACTGATTTGCAACATATAATTGACATTCAACATAAACAGTGGAGGTGTTAGCACGCAGCCTTGTGGAACCCTACCATAAATGGGCTTGCAGTCGGAGCATGCAAGAAAACTGGTGATCCAATTGCACAATTTCTTGGGAACCAAATAGGAAGAAAGCTTTGGAAGAAGCACTTTGTGCCAAACTTGATCGAAGGCCTTTGATATGTCAAAACTAACGGCCAAGGTCTTCCTCTTGGTCTCTCCTGCGTCCATCATCTTGGGGGTCAGGTACACTAGAAGATCACCAGCTGAGTGACCGCGGCGAAATTAGTAATGGTGGTTACTAATCAGCTGGTGGACCTCAAGGTACATAATTAGCTGGCAGTTTATAATGGTTTCCATGATTTTGGAGTACAAGGAGGTAATAGGGCTGTAGCTGAACCGTCGCTAGTTTTAGGTATCGGGTGCACTAAAGCTATCTCCAAGAACTCAGGACTACTCCTACGCCTAGTAGGACATGTCTTCAGCACAATATGAAGAACTTCATCAGGTTTACCCGACTTCTTAACATTCAGGGAGAGGAGTGCTTTGCGCACTGAGCACTCACTGCAGAATGGTCAGCAGAGTGTTCCTCCCGTCACCGAGAGTCGAGTTGGACGCAAAAAGAGAGCCTAACAAATCGGCTTTCTCCTTTGCGGCATGGACCAGTGAGTCGTTCTCCCTGTGCAGAGATGAAAGAGATGGCTGACAGAAGTTCCGTTGGATAGCCTTGGCGAGAGACTAGAATTCTCTACGAGACGAGACTAATATCTCGCCAATTCTGCAGATTTACGCACGAATCAGCGCACTGCTTTGCATTGCCAATGACTCTTTTGTAGGAGCTAGAAGCGGAACTTTCTTAATTTTATTATATTTCTTTTCTTCTTGGTATTTCGTGTGACACCGACGCGTCAGTACAGGCCCGGTAGCACTCCTACTTATGACAAGATGCAATTTTAAATGAGCTATCAATTCATAGCTGGGATCGACCTCCGAGGGACACTACAGATGATGGAATAAAAAGGTCCATTATATAAAAAGGACAAAATCAGCAACAACCTTGGAATCATCCGGCGAGAAGCAACTTTGAAATACTTCAAAATAATCAAATATTTTTCTTAGAATGATACGACATTATAATCTTCAGAAACATTTTATATGGGTTAGGAGTCTTGTAAAGAAAAACAAAATTATGTTATCATCAAAATAAAAACTAATTACATTAACTAATCCTTGGTATATTATCTTCTAACGAGGTACTTGGGACTAATACCTACATTAATTAATGCTAGGTTTATTTCGAAAAACGCAGGTCCTTTCGCAGTTGTAAAATGTGAGGAACTCAAAATTAGCACACAACTAAAGAATATTATGTAATACTTAAATGAAAATAATTACCGCTTTTCAAGATCAAGCGGCGACTCATTGGGACGCGCGGTCACACATCTATTCACCAAGCGCCAGATTGTAGCACGGTGATTCAATTTTTTGTTCCTAACGACCACTTTAATATTAAATCACAACCTAGTTACACGACAATCCAAGATCAACGCGGAAGGCTCAACTGACATATTATTAAATAAATATTTCTGGAAGAGATATCTTAACGCCACAATATATTAGAAAACGGCAGGTCACATTTATCTAAGCGACAAAATTACAGGAAGGAAAAATATCACTAACCGACATCTTTTTGTTAATCAGACCTGGTAAAAAAATATCTAAATGATAAATAGCTAATATTAAGGACAGGTAAAAGGGTAAGAGGTTGCAAAAAATAAAATTTTTACGTAGGAAAAGATAGCCAAATAAATTTTTAATTTTTCATAAGTTCAGGAAAAAGTAACTTAAAACGAAAATAATTTATATCAAAAACAGGATAAATTTACTAAGTAGAAATACGGTAGATTGAAAATTGTCCTAAACGCAATATTTTTTTAAATGACGAAAATTATCGTCGGTTGGTCGCTGAAAACTTCAAAAAATCCTCAAATTTTAAAATAACTAAACGACATTAAATTCATCGTAGAAGCACGAAAGTAGGACCAATCGACGCAGAAAAAAAAAAGCTGATTCCAATGATATATATAACTCAATATTGACCAAAGTGTCGCTTGGTAATTTTTTACTTTCACCGCACCACAGCACTAAAATAAGAAATTTATAACGTTTTTATGTCAGCATGAAATGTAAGCTTGCAATCAAATATAACCTATATGTCTTTTATATAATGTTAGTCCAAGTAAAAAGTTACATACAACCATAAGACATAGAAAAACACTTATCCAAGTTAAACTCCATACATACGTTTTCGGAGACAGGATGAGGCCACGGAGCAGTCGGGGGATCGCAAGCCGGCTGCGCTCGCGCTGGGAAGCTTTGCTTCCTACGAGCGGTGCCTCCCGCCATACCCGTATTGCTTGTACGAACAGAACTGGACCATTCGCCGTTCTGTGAGAAGAATATCCTTTACATAATAAAACACCTTGACAAACGATCACACAATCCACCTGATGGTAAGTGGATAATGTGGCCCATAGACATCCATATCTATCCTCTATTAAGAATCAAAATGCAGATATGCGTTGTTACCTCTGAGGACTGAGATGAAATGTCTGCGGTTCCCTACACTCCCCATACGAAATACAGCAGAATTGAGCTGCTATTTTACGCAGGTATTCTGTGAGAATGTGATCCTTCCCCAGTTTGCTTTGTTTGTAAAAAAAAATATCTAGTATCATTATCTGAAGAAAAAAGAGGAATACGTTTGTATGGATTAAACACAGCTCGATATCCTCTTAATTATTTTTTTTTATATAATAATAGATCAATATTATTGCACGCCTCATAACGCTAAGCGTTATAAGGTAGTGCTTTACTCTCGACACGTTAAGGTGAAGCAGTTTTGTGTTCTTAAAATGCCTCTATCATAACCATATTGCACTTATACAATAATATAAATAGCCGTATATCAAGAAAACACTCTAATTAATCCATCTTATATTTTCTAAAAAATCAATTTACATTGCTACTTTGAAACAAAAAGTTAGAATTTTTTTTTACGTGGACGTGGTGGAGTAAGGCTAGGGAAAACTAAGCAGCCCCGGGTTAGAGGCAAGGGACGGGAAAATGAAGAACGATGCAGATAAAAATAAAAAAAAGTAAAATTAAACTCTTAAAATGAGGGCATCCACGACTTTTTCTGCCACCAGGGCGGCGCCACTTTACAATGAGGTAAAATATTTGACAGATTTCATAGCGGGGACGATAATTACTTAGGAAAATGTAAAGGTTAATGTTTCTTTCCATATTATTAGTTATATTTTATATTAATTAGATTAGAAATTAATAAACCAAACTATAAATATAACTAAAAGTAGAAAAATTAAAAAAAAAGAATTATAATAAAGTACAAAAAATTAAAAATCAAACCACTGAGGCATTGTGTTGTGTATTAATATAATACTCTAGATAATGATAAACTATTATTTAAAACTAGTTTCTCAATTAACTGACACTATGTAACAAAAAACTTTACCTCACTCACAACTAGCGACATCTGGTGAGTGGAAGATTATTAGCCCTCATTAGATCTATTCAATGTCAAATATTTGTGTTATTATATGTTATTGTAACTGCCTCAATGGTCTAATGGTTGTAAGCGTGACAGCCAATCATGTAGTCCCGGAGTCGAATCCAGAGTCGGAATGCAGGTGGTATCGAAATGCCTTCTGCATTACCTATTTGAAATGGCAACTACGTCATAGTCGGAAGCTATTATGGGGATATTTATATTTTATTACACGTTTTCTAATTAAAACCGTTTTTATTTACGTTAACATAAAGGTTAACGTGAAGAGCCGTGGTAGCACAGATGGTTAGCACTCGCTGGAAATTTTACAGTACAACCCGGGTTCGATCCCCGCCGGCACCAATGAAATTGTTAATTCCAATTTTATGTGCTGATTTACCACGTGCTCGGTGGTGAAGGTAAACATCGTGAGGAAACCTGCATGTCTGAGCAATAAGAAAATAAATATTTCGAAGACATGTGAAGTTCGCCAACACGCATTGGGGCAGTGCGGCGGACACTTCCTTGCCCTAAAACCTTCTCAGAAATGAGAAGAGGCCTGTGCCCAGTGGTGGGACGTATATTATAGGCTGTAACTTTTAACTTTAACATAAAGGTTTAAATTATTATCTTTCAGAAATCACGTAGGGTCGCGGTAGTTTGGTAGCTCAGAGGCTAACCACACGCTGTAATTTTCACATGAGGCGAGCATCCTGGGTTCGATCCCCGCCAGCACTAATGAAATTGTTAATTTATAATATAACAATGAATTTTAGCACTGATTTGCCGTATATTCAACGATAAAGGAAAACATCGTGAGAATACCTGCATGTCTAAAAAATTAAAAATTGCGGGGGCATGTGAGAGGTGGGCATTGCCCACCAGTGGGACATATAAAGTGTGTTACTTTACTTTTAAACTCACTTAATCCCAAAAACCATGCGTGGCGGTTCTAATAAATACAATCTGACGCTAACGTATCCATGACCCAAAACTTATGTTCACCTTGAGCATACAAATGCTACTATTATGTAAGTGCGCATAGTGTAATATACCTGGACGCACCAGCCACAAGTATAATATTTAAATGCTTAAGGAAAATTCTATTTACCTCGATGCAACATTAACATGACAATGTTTTGTGTATACAAAAGAATTTAATTTATTCTATCCACTAGCAGTGTCAGTTGTATCTCGTGCCTGCTCAAGTTAAGACCGTACACGAAAAGTGCCATTGTGTTTACAATAGTATTTAAGTTGTAACATATTATCACTTTTAAACATTACATAGTCTTCTTTTGTGTTTTAAATAAAAAATTATGACGACCTTACTCTGATAATGATTTAAAGACATATTTCCCTTAAAAAAAAGCTATTTAAATATTTACTCATCATTTCATTCCTGGATTATAATTTATAATTACTATAAGTTACTTGAAAGTTCTATTGTTAAGATTTAGTTCGATTTTAGACCACCGACCTATTTAGTAATCAAGGTAAAATTTCGTTGAAACATTCATGATTAAATTATATAACATTATTTACTGCGAACTATACATATTTGTGTCGCAACATATTTCAGAAGGCCTGATTTCAAGAGTTATAAAGTATTTAGTAAATTTTAAATGTAGTCAATAGTCATACGGCCGTTCAACTAGAAAAAAATAATAATATGTTATTGCCTGGGACCCAATTAGAATTTATTTAAAAAAAAATTAACAGCACGTAAAATGCATGTCATATTTATTGTTTCAGCTATAGGTTTTAAAATATTAGAATAAATTATGAACTATAATATTCGTTCAGCCATAAGATTCAAAATAACTGAGAATACTAAATTTATGTGCTTGTGAGTGTGTGATTTCACTGACCGGTGAAACGGCACCATTTGGCGGCTGCAGCAGGCTGGCCGGGAGAGGAGAAGTGGCTGCTCGAAGGGGAGAGACAGTCATGCCCAAGTGCTTGCTGTTTATAAGTCTGCGCAGCAACTGCGTAGCTTCGCCACCTCTACCTGTACGTAGCAAACAAACTTAAATTAAATTAAAGCTAAATTAAATACATATTTTTTCTATTCAAAATCTTACATCCGCACTAGGATTTTCTCTTGTATCGTGGGAGCAGTTTACATACATAAATATTTATGACATTACGATTTATTGTCCGTATTTTTTGATTTGATTTAATGATTAATGACACAATGTTTTAAATTTCATGATTTTAATAGTATTGTAAGCATCGATCACTAATAAAAAACTAGATACACAATCAGTGACAAAAATGTCCTTACGGAATGAGCGCCCACTCGAACATTTGGGTGCGCTTTTAATTTGTACGTCTCTTTGTGAATACAACTTTAGGCGATGCATTTAAGGTTGAATTTACATTAATGTATATTTATTTCAACTAGAATTACGTCAAAACAATTGGCGACAGTTTGTAGAGAACTCTTGCTTGGGAGTGTGTATCTAGTTTTTTTTTATTAGTGATCGATGATTGTAAGGCCTCTAATCTAGCAGGATGTGGTGATACTTAATTACTAGTATAATGTTAAATCTCTAAAACCTACAACTAGCACAATAAATGACTTATTCTACTATATTCTAAATTTCATAAGAACAAACATGGTAGACCCGGAACAATTATTTGTAGGCCACACAAATTGAACTCATTGCTAAGCCACTGCGTTAAAGCTGGAATATTTTGGGTAATTTGCTTTTGAAAGTTCTTTTTTTATTTACAACAAATATTGATTTCCAAATATGAATGTAATGAAAATAAAATGATTACAGAGAGAGGTTAGTTGATCATTTACAAAAAGTAATCAATGCTTTAGTACTATAATAATACGTATTCTCCTCTCGCATAGTGAGACGGGTTGTATCGGACTTGTAGCGACATAAGCCCAATAGTGTTCCAACTTCAATCCTCCCCCTTTTCCTCTTAGCAAGGTAGAGCAAGTCGTACCGCAACATGAGAGGCACTTTCCTATTCAGTCTCAATATTTCCCAGACACAGTCACGCGGACACTTGTTGGACAAACTCGGACATGAAGACAAGTGCAAAGACAGTTGCCTTCATGTCCAACCGTAGCCTTACCACTACCCTCATTAGCTATATAGGCCAAAGCGATCGCAGAGATAGGAGGAAAGCGAGTGTTTCGTAATACCAAAACTCATAATTTCCCATGACTTCCCTTATGTTCCCTCGGTGCCATGGTATAATTAACCAACTCGTATTCTGTCACTGTCACTCATCAAACCCACTCGGAGCGTAAGTAAAAATATGACTACTTTTCTCCAAATGCCAAATGCGTTGCATGCGGTGCTGGGTGTTGTCTGACGGACGGCGCTCTGTCGATCGACCACCTGATGGCCGCCTCAGATCCAGAAACAATTAACCAAAATTTCACAGACATTTTGGTTACGTGGAAGAGCATTATTAGTGCATTATGTCATCACTACGCTCCCCAACCTATTCTAAGCCCGGCGTGGTAACTAAATACCAATTTAACAAGTATTGTATGCCAGCAGGGTGCACATGAAACTAAATTGGACTATACCATGCATGTTATTATGTATATTCTACTGTTTAATCTAGGGGGACTAGAGTTGCCAGGTGGTCAGGATTCGTCTGAATTCTCCCGACATTTTTAATGATTTCCAGACTCCCGACAAAACTCAAACTCTCCAGACAAACAGCTTCTCTTCACATCACAGCTGCCTTTGATTTAATAAAAGCTGAGTTAGTAATTAGACTGAACTTTGAAAGAAATTGTTTGAATTATAAATCTTTTCTGAATAATATACTGAAGGATTCAAATTGTTGGACTCAGTGAAGTCCAGTGGCTAATTTCATGTGGCGACCTAAAAATGTTGTGTACTTAAATTCAGTTATGTGTCAACAATGTTAAGTCAACAATGGTAAGTTAAGTCTTTTTGTAGCCTATTTAATTTAAAAAATAAACTTTTTATTTATCTATTTCTATAGACAACAACCCCAAAATCCCGACATTTTCATTCAGAGAGAACATTCGCAGCCTAGGGTAAAAATCGATCTGTAAAATAATCTGAAATTTGTGTGATAGAATAATGGATCTTTTTTTAACCGACAATAAATTAATTATTATTATAAAATCTGTCCGTAGGTTTAAAATGTACAGCAGTCAGCGGAAAATAGCTAAACAAGATAGCTAAAAAACCTTCAATTCAATGACAATATTGACTCGTTTTCCGCCGCAATCCTCCTTTGCCAAATCAGTGGTGATAGACCAGAAGTTCTGAAGGCGGTAAAGTAACGTTAACGCTCTAGCGATATGGTCATTGTTTTAAAAGTTTTTGTAAAATATTGGTTTGTAATATTACAACGGAAAAATTATATGTCCAAATAAATCAGAACTTCTAACACCGCACTAGAGTATAGCCAATTACATCTATAAGAGGAAGTAATTTCCATATTTTAGCATGCAATTTGGTACCCAACTTAAAATATTATGACTTCCGAATAGAACGGAAGAAGCCTACTTTACAATTTTTTTTTAAAATATAGTGTACATCTCGACGCTTATATCTGGGATCTATTTTTTATCTTTGTCCAGTTTATTGTAGCATTTTGTGAATTTAATATATGTTTCGAGTTTTTATATGGTAGTAAAAGATTATAGAGCATTTCGTTTATGGAAACTAATTGCGTAATTTTCTACGACTTTAAGTACAATCCCGATGTTTGTACGATATTAATACCGTTTTGTCTATGAAGCGCCTGCCACAAAGACTCTTTGTCGTTTTCACCTTCATGTGGTGGCTTCGGCGAAGACTGAGTGGATGGCACCGACTGGGTCTCCTCTGGATCGTCCTTTAAGTAAAAAATTACACGCTATTAATTAATTCAGCTATCAATAATATCACGTTGGAACAATCAAATGTTTATGAGAAATTAAATATTTACGTGGTAAAGTTTATTAAATATTTAAGTTTAAATTTATGGTTGTAGCACGAATGGATCGGCTCGACCAGGGTAGGACTACGCTCTCACAGAATGCTAGCGTAAAATAGCAGGTTAATACTACTGTGGTTCGTATGGTGAGGGTAGAAAACCAGAGACCCTATTTACTGTAGACGAGGCATTCCATCTTAGTCTTCATGGGCGGGAACGCGTCTTCATTTTGTTTCTTAATTTGGGAGAAATGTAGAAGTCTATGGGCCACAGCATCAAGTTACTATCAGGTGGACTGTGTGCTTGCTTGTCACACTTATACTATAAAAAAGACAGCTATTATTGAAATATTTTGTCTTAAACATATATCTTCTCTATATATAAAAATCGACTGCTGTCTGTTAGTCTCGCAATACTTGAAAACGGCTCAAACGATTTTCATGAAATTTTTAGTGTGCGATTTTTTTATAGGATAGGGTGACAAACGAGCACACATTCCACCTGATGGTAAGTAGTTGCTGTGAACTCATTTGGTGTCGCACATCTACATTTATCCTCAATAAAGAATCAAAATGCAGATGCGTCGTCATCCGTGAGGACTAAGATGGAATGCCTCTTTTCCAGTAAAATGGGTCTCCGGTTCTCTACACTCGCCATACGAAAAACAGCAGTGTCAAGCTGTCATTTACGCTGGTATTCTATGCGTTTAAGTAGGATGGTTGATTGAATGGTTTAGATTCACAATTGGACCCGCAAGATGGCGCTGTGCGAAGCCGGGGTGGATCGCTAATTATATAATAAAAAAGGTGAAGAACGTAAGTTTTCGTATCTCGTTTAATAGATTTGTTTTATTCTCCACATGAGAGACCTTTATTTGATATTAAGTTGCGTTATTTACGTAGATAAAATTCCATCGCCTCATGTTGTTCCTTGACTTTCAAAAAATCATTAAGGTAAATAAAAGGAACATCTATAAACACACACTAGTATTACCTATCGAAAATATGCAGTCGATATAATTAAGTCGCTTCTAAGGCACTTTTTTCCGACAGTGGACTGTTTTCAAGCTAATGAGAATGAAAATAAGATCCGTATGCAATTTTTTTAAATAAAAGATGTATATTTTAAAATCGGCTCTTGTGTTTTAGGTATTAATTAACAACAATAAAACTTGTAACATAAACTATAATTGAAAAAGAAAATATAACTATTGAACAAATTGATTAACATGATAGGAAATGGAGGGATAATCGTGAAGGACGATAAATTACAAAATATGTTAAATTACACACCTGCGACATCTCAGATATGTCCATTTGTAATCTGTCTGGATCTGACCCGCTACTGCTCTGGCTACATTCCTCATATATTGAGCTGTCTTTTGTTTGCTTTGCTTTGCCGCCGGACCGACCGAACACGTGCTGCTTATACTCTTCCGCGAAGTTTTTTGTCTTGCTGTCTGCTACTGACCGATGTACGAACCCTTCGATGGAATCGCGATCCAGTTGCTCATTCTGATCAATTGGTTCTGTTTTAAGAGAGCTGTATAACGAGAGGTCCATTTCTTTGTTGTCGTGGTCGTCGTTGCTGTTCGGACTTGCAGCGGGCTGTGACGCACTGTATGCGTATTGATCATGTGAGTACTCGTGCGAGTAGCCACCTTCGGTAGCGCTCGCTGGATGTGTCCTATCTATAACGCTCGCATAGTTGGGGGGAAAGCTCTGAGATTCTTCGTTATCACGCTGCGCAACCGCAACAGCCTTACTTATTATATCGATGACTGCATTACAGTGCATCACCTCCCTTGCTCTATCAGAAGGCGGCAAACACGGAACATTGTTAAACATTATGTGTGGACCTTCTTCCGTCTTAACGACGTATTTTGTTGGATCGTAATTCTTTATTTGGAGCAGCGTCACCGCCGCTTGTCTGCTCTCCAAGTTCTTCATCTCTTCTGTGGAGTCAGGTGAGCCGACCTCGGCATATTTGTGTTTACTTAGATGTTCGTAATCAGTCTCGTTTATCGGTTTGATTATCTCCTCTAGCTTGTCGGCCGTTATACTTAAGACCTCCTAAAAATAAAAAATAAATTGTTTGAACAATCTGCGTTCCAAATAAGGCGCACGATAACACAAATAAACATTAACCAATGACGCGATCGTTCATTCTATGTCACTTTATGATATCACATGCCTCTTAACTGATAAGATAGTATACATTTGTATCGGAAGGTGCTAACGCAGTATCCTTTATAATTTTAATGAAAATGTTTCTTCAGAGAGACTTTAAGCAAGTGAGTTGGGGCAATCTAGGCTCTTCCGAAAAGTTGGATTAAGCGACCGCGCGTGTGTCGACCATTGGCGCTTATGGTGTTTCTTTGTTGTAGGTGTTAGTGTTATTATGTGTGCTTGTCGCGACGGGCGGTGCTGACAGCGAAGTCAAAAACACGTTATGCGATGTTTTCTTACAAGACGTCAACAATCTTACACTGAACTGCTCCCGGCGTAGTATCGAAACAGTTCCAAACAAGTGGCCGGAGCAAATTGATAATATTACGAATGAAGGTAAATGATATTTAATACATTTATAATAAAAAAGGGTATAATATACCTAAGTATAATAAAAACATTCATCCCCTAGACAAGTGTTTCTTAAGCTAACTGCGGACCCCCGTACACATATATTCGAGGACCCCTGGGGGTCAGCGAATATACGGTTGGGTTATTTAACTATAATGAATAAATGCTACCAAAAGTAAAAATACAGAAAAAAATTACCAGTGGAATCCGATTTGACATTACCTACAACTTTGTAGTAACATCAACCCGTATATCACTAATAAAGTTGCAAAAAAAAAAACAACCTTCACATTAGGAATAAGGCTAACTAACGGAAATAAAATAACGAAAATAAAATACGTATTTTTTTAAAAATACGTTTTCTTAATAAGCGGGTTCTTGATAATTGCGCTTAGTTTCCTAGGGGACCGTGGCTGAAAAAGGTGAAACGCTGCTTTAGACAGACTGTAAAGTACCTAATTACCACAATGGCGTGTATTACGTGTTCGTAGTATTCACATAACTGTTGTCTGCGGTTATCATAATTCATAGAAGCCTCAAGTAGGTATCTTACAAAACAAAAAAATAATGATTATTATTAAAAGAATTCAGTCGACATATGAATATAATTTATTTTAGACGTTAAGATTTCTAAACCATTTTTGGATTGCTTATGCTGTTAATTCAGCAATTTTTTAAGTTTCATAATATATATTCATACTTATAAACGATAAACGGCGCTTAGGATACGTTCGGCGCCAATAAGATACAAAAAAACTCAATTTTGTTTAAAACAAACAAAAATAGACTGCAACTATTCTATTAAGAATTCTACTAAATAAAACTAACTTAACGTATTTTATCCCGTAAAATTTTAACAAATTTTAACTTAACATACATAAAGGCTCATGCCCTGTCACCCAAAAGGGTAGGTCGAGGTGACGGATTACCATTTTCTTACACACCTCTCTCGCCTCTTTCACGCCAATATTATATACTAACGCAAAACGCTCGTTATTTTGGCCCACCTTAAATATATTGGTTTGGTCGATAAACTTCCGTCTGAGCCGTTCCTTCTTAACATTGCCACTCACTTCTGCAACATAAATTTGCTTTGTTACTCTTACCTCATTCATTCTTTCTACATGACCAAACCAAAAAAGCTTTCCTGTCTTAATCGTGGTCACATTTTTTTGCGAACCACACTTTTCTCTTAGCACACAATTTCTCACGTTAACTTTCCGAATCACCACCAACATACTCTTTAATGACCACATGTCTAGAGCATTTATTCTACTCTCGTGCTTCTTCTGCCAATCACCCAACTTTCACTAACATGCATTAAGATAAGAACTGAAATAGCATTGTGAACTGCCATATGTGCCTATTTTCACACATTCTGACTTTCCACAATAAGGTAAAGAGCCCAATTTACTCTGTCTACCATCCCTGCTAAACATTCATCCCAAATACACAAACTCATCCACTTGGTCAACCCCTTCTTTTCTTAATTCATATAACGTTTTACTTTTCTTTCAAAACTATATATTACTTTAGTCTCACTTGTTTTCACTTTTATTCCTCTTTTTTAATGACATGTTTATTAATGTAACCATTATTTGCACCTCACCCGCCAACGATACAAATATCACTTGATCGTCGACGTACAAAAGGCATTTCACTCACTCTTTCTAAACACACATTCTGCAACTTTCAAACTGTCCAAACTAAGAAAGTTGCAGAATGTGTCCAAACTGTCCATAAATAGATAGCAATCACGCGGCAGCTATAACACTTTTTGACACATTTATGGATGTCACACCAGTCAGAGTAGGTGCCGTTGATTCTGACACAAGCACTCCAGTCTCTATTAAAATATTTTAATGTCTATATCAGCCCAGCGCTCAATCCAAAGGAGTCCATTGTCATAAGCCTTTTCCATGTCCATAAATGCACAGAAAATTATTTCTTTTTTTCTTTTTTTGGTCTAAAACTTCTTTATAATCATGCGCATAGAAAGGGCCTGCACACCACCCCCCATTTGCTTATTAAATCCAGCTTGCACATTTTAAATTTTATCGCCAGTTTCATACATATCTCTTTCAATCAACCACCTCAGCATGCAATTTTCCTACGATGCATAATGTGATGAATTTTTACAGTCCTGCTGTTTTTTAGACCTTTACTCATTTTAACTCCCGGTGAATATAAGAAATATAAATACATCCTGCAACTTTTTAATAAGACCATGACAACGAAAAACTAAAAGGAAAAGTAAAGGTAAAACAATAATTTAAAGATTAACTTTGGGCTCTTGAATGAATGACTACGTTACATTACAAATTACAATACGTCATTAGCACAATAAATACAAAAGTAATTATGGTTTAAATACAAAGTGGAACACATAACGTCATTTATCATAATGTATATATTTCAGGTGGCCATGTTCTGATTACGTTCTTCAACAACAGCGTAACAACAGTGACGCAACTGCCGAAGATTCCCGGCAACAGAATCGCCATCAGTTTCAAGTCCAACGCCATCAGCGAAATAGAGGACGATGCGTTTAGAAACATTGAGCGTTTGGTGTATCTAGATTTGAGCAACAATCGCATATCAGGTATCGGTTTTCGTTTAATGACAAAACTTATGATGCTAATAATGTTGTTCTGGCTAATTATCATAACGTGGATATAATTATTTATAATGCAGCATTTTGACATGTTTATTTAGTTTTTCTATATCTTGTGTTTGAAGAATTAGTTTTATGCTAATAATCAATGTATGTCGTGAGCCGTGGTAGCTCAGATGGTTAGCGCTCGCTGTAAGCTTCACAGTACTCGAGCAACCCGGGTTCGATTCCCGCCGGCACCAATGAAATTGTTAATTGCAATTTTAAGTGCTGATTTACCACGTGCTCAGCGGTGAAGGAAAACATCGTGAGGAAACCTGCATGTCTGAGAAATAAGAAAAAAAAATTCGAAGACATGCGAAGTTCGCCGACACGCATTAGGGCAGCGCGGTGGACAATTCCTTGCCTTAAAACCCTCTCAGAAATGAGAGGAGGCCTATGCCCAGCAGTGGGACGAAAATAGGCTGCAACTTTACTTTAATAATCAATAGGGGACTTAAATTTTCATCGGAATATATATTCGATGTAATCTTTCTGTGTACACACAGCAATGGGATGCTGGGAGTCTTGGTAGGGCTAGAACATTGTAATGTTCATAAAGCTGATCTCGAGTCTGTAAACTCCGAAACTTTCTTCAGTCTTGTAAGTACATGGACATAGCACCTTACTTACGTGCATGAACGTGATTTTCCTTTTTCAAAGTACTATAACTTGACCTCTTGTGACTAGCCAACGGCAGAGCAAAAAACGGACGGGATAAAGCCTGTGTTCAGACGTGGAAAATCGTATTTAAATTATTAGTTATTACCATTATCTTGATTTTTATAACGCAATGTGCTTGTTACGTCGTATTTACTACGTTACAATAATTTCGAGAGAGACATTTGTACACCGCTGAATTTTACGAGCCGTGACTCTCGTAAACATTAAGAACGATGTTATCGGCAAACTTTGATACCAGTTAACTCTCTCCTCCTTTAAAAGAGCGTAAGGAAGCAGATTTCATTTCACCGATACTGGTCCTTCCATGGGACCTGATTACGGTTTCCTAGGTTTGTTTCACATCGGTTTACTTCCTATCTTGGATACAACTAACGATCAGCTTTCTGGTATTTATTGATTTTTTTTTCTCCGTCGGAAGAGTAAGCTCTTGGCGAGTTTTAACAATATGATCGTGTAACAGTATATAATATGAAGTATTAATTTTACGGAGACGATCGATCTGACGAAACCCGCTATAAATAGTGTATTTTATACAAAGTAAACAAGCGTTGTCCCTATCTGATGTTACTAGAGTTCGTGAATCGCGTACGTGTGCTAACTGAGCCTCTCAAAGTTTATTGACCTGATAACAGTACCTACGCATTATAGGATGAAAAATGCGATACGTTATTTGTTAATTATGTTCTTTGATTAAATATTCTAAAGATTTAAGTCACTTTTCCTTGTTCTTTCTGTTGCCTCAGTTGCACACCATTTTCACTCACAACGTAGCGTAGCGATTTCTCTACAATGTGGTGTAAGAAGCATTTAACGAATCGTCTATATTTCATAATATATAGAATACTGGTTTGTAATCTACAGCGTTATCTTTATTGTCAGGTGTGATAATTTCTCTATAAGATTAGTGGTATTTACAGCTTCTACTGTAAAGATTACCTAGAAGTGTATAAACAAAAGCATACGAAATAATACAAAAAAAAACTATTGGAAAATTTTATGCATTATGCCCTAAGCGCATTGAAAAATTACGTATAACATGATTTTACGTAATTACGACAAAACGTTGGAATCTTGATTTTAGGTGCTAGCAGAACATATCTAGGTAGGCGTTTTGCGCTAAAGGCATGCAATAGATCACGAGATGTTATTATTTTCGTCCTCGATTGATTTCGATAAGGGACGACCTTTTAGTGGTATAGGTAAGCGGGTCATATAAGCTTTGTGCATTCGATTTATAAATTTGAACCCAATGTTAAGCAAACACATTCGTTAGTAGGGTACAACGGGTACAAATAAAATGAAATGCGATATAAATAAAATTGAAATGTCTGTCCGTAATATCGAAATAACTGCCTTTTACAACCCTGAGAGTGGTTATTTGCATGTTATTAAGACATGAATAACCATGTTTGAAAAAATATCTGCCTGTCTGTCTGTCTGCTAATCCTCGGAATAACAGAACGAATTGTAATGATACTTGACAAATAGATAGAGAGCAATGCCAGGGTGATCTAGACTATATTTTATTGAAGATTTTAAAAAAAATGTACTCTATCATCCCATGGGTAAGAGGTGACAGAGGAAAAAAAAACATCAGATGGGTAGCGGCGTCCTCCTAATTCACAACCACAAATAAAAAACTGCGGTTACCAACCAACCCGCTTGGCAAACATGGCAACTATGGCAAATAGGAGATTTACCCATGGGTGCTACAAAGCACATCGGGAAAAAATTAATTTAAGCCTTTGACTATCCGCTTCAAAATTAGAATGAATACATTACTATTTAAATTTACAGAAATACACGATGAAAACAAATACAATGCGTTCTACAGAGAAAAAGATATAGAGCCTTGATTATTTATTTATTATAGAAATATTACAAACAAATGCACTATAAGAATGAAATAAATATATACATCTTAAAAGACAACTTTCTTTAATCTCCAATCAAAAACGTCATTGCATAGATTTTAATAATAGTCATCCGACCCAGTTCGCCGCTTTCTCTTAAACGATGCTTTTATAGGTCGCGCAGAATCGCTAATAAGGTGACTACATAAAACCTGAAGTAGCTTGTGAGCGATAAAATGAAATATAAATTTTCAAGCAATGTAATTTCTAAAGGCAAGCAGAGTTCTTGCCATAGCGTGGCGGCGTTGGAGAATTCACTATCCCAAGTCATCCAGTGGGTATCGTAAGAGGCGACAGAGAAAAACTGAAATAAATGACTTGAATTCTAAATTCAGAGCCTTAAGTCATTAAAAATGCGTGGTTGAAAAACTTCTAGCTTAATAAGTAAATTTAGTTTGCTTAGGGACGAAGTGTCTAGACAGCTACCGTCAATCCAAGTGCCAAAGACCACGACTACTACATAACATAACATGAGCTCTCACGTCTGTTACCCAGATTTTTTACGTGGTAGAGCCATACTGCAGCTATATTAGTAGTATAGTTGTAGCACGAATGGCTCGGCTGGGGAAAGATCACGCTCACACAGAATACCAGCGTAAAATAGCAGCTGAACACTGCTGTGTTTCGTATGGTGAATGTAGAGAACCGGAGACCCTTTTTACTGGAAATGAGACATTCCATCTTATTCCTCACGGGTGACAACGCATCTGAATTTTGATTCTTTATTGAGTACTAGCTGTTACCCGCAACTTCGCCCGCGTGTTATTTGGGGTTTTAATTTTTTTGCGCTGCACCCTAATTCTGTTTCTAAAATAAAAGGAGCCTAAGTTACTCCTTGTGACATCAGCTATCTGCCAGTGAAAGTCCCGTCAAAATCGGTCAAGCCGTTTCGGAGATTAGCGGGAACAAACAGACAGACAGACAGACGGACAGACAGACAGACAAAAACTTTAAAAATTGTATTTTTGTTATTAGTACCGTATATACTTTCATATGCATTTAGTAAAAAGCTGTAATTTTGTCATTACAAACAGACACTTTAATTTTATTTATTTATATAAATATATAAATATATAGATGTGGATGTCTATGGGTCACAGCAACCACTTACCATCAGGTGGACTGTGTGCTCGTTTGTCACCCTTATCCTATAAAAAAAAGATGCGTAGGCAGAGACTACGGGCTTCCATTTGGCACGATCCTGACTAGCTTTTCTCGCTTGTTTTACATCATATATCTACGCATACATGCTCGTAGGTCAATCTAACTTAACCCATCTTTAATATATTGCCAATTTAGTCGACAAACTTCCGTATAGCGTCCCTTGCAGACTCTGCCACTCCCTTCTGCAGCACAATTTCTTCTGTTTCACATTCATATATCTACGCATACATGCTTGTAGGTTAAGCTAACTTAACCTATCTTTAACATATCGCCAATTTAGTGGACAAACTTCCGTATAGAGCGTTCCTTGCAGACTCTGCCACTCCCTTCTGCAGCACTTTTTTTTTGTTTCACATTCATATATCTACGCATACATGCTTGTAGGTAAAGCTAATTTAACCCATCTTTCATATATTGCCAATTTAGTCGACAAACTACCGGATAGAGCGTCCCTTGCAGACCCTGCCACTCCCTTCTGCAGCACTTTTTTTTTGTTTCACATTCATATATCTACGCATACATGCTTGTAGGTAAAGCTAATTTAACCCATCTTTCATATATTGCCAATTTAGTCGACAAACTACCGGATAGAGCGTCCCTTGCAGACCCTGCCACTCCCTTCTGCAGCACTTTTTTTTTTGTTTCACATTCATATATCTACGCATACATGCTCGTAGGTAAAGCTAATTTAACCCATCTTTCATATATTGCCAATTTAGTCGACAAACTACCGGATAGAGCGTCCCTTGCAGACCCTGCCACTCCCTTCTGCAGCACTTTTTTTTTTGTTTCACATTCATATATCTACGCATACATGCTTGTAGGTAAAGCTAATTTAACCCATCTTTCATATATTGCCAATTTAGTCGACAAACTACCGGATAGAGCGTCCCTTGCAGACCCTGCCACTCCCTTCTGCAGCACTTTTTTTTTTGTTTCACATTCATATATCTACGCATACATGCTTGTAGGTAAAGCTAATTTAACCCATCTTTCATATATTGCCAATTTAGTCGACAAACTACCGGATAGAGCGTCCCTTGCAGACCCTGCCACTCCCTTCTGCAGCACTTTTTTTTTTGTTTCACATTCATATATCTACGCATACATGCTCGTAGGTAAAGCTAATTTAACCCATCTTTCATATATTGCCAATTTAGTCGACAAACTACCGTATAGAGCGTCCCTTGCAGACCCTGCCACTCCCTTCTGCAGCACTTTTTTTTTGTTTCACATTCATATATCTACGCATACATGCTTGTAGGTAAAGCTAATTTAACCCATCTTTCATATATTGCCAATTTAGTCGACAAACTACCGGATAGAGCGTCCCTTGCAGACCCTGCCACTCCCTTCTGCAGCACTTTTTTTTTGTTTCACATTCATATATCTACGCATACATGCTTGTAGGTAAAGCTAATTTAACCCATCTTTCATATATTGCCAATTTAGTCGACAAACTACCGGATAGAGCGTCCCTTGCAGACCCTGCCACTCCCTTCTGCAGCACTTTTTTTTTTGTTTCACATTCATATATCTACGCATACATGCTTGTAGGTAAAGCTAATTTAACCCATCTTTCATATATTGCCAATTTAGTCGACAAACTACCGGATAGAGCGTCCCTTGCAGACCCTGCCACTCCCTTCTGCAGCACTTTTTTTTTGTTTCACATTCATATATCTACGCATACATGCTTGTAGGTAAAGCTAATTTAACCCATCTTTCATATATTGCCAATTTAGTCGACAAACTACCGGATAGAGCGTCCCTTGCAGACCCTGCCACTCCCTTCTGCAGCACTTTTTTTTTTGTTTCACATTCATATATCTACGCATACATGCTCGTAGGTAAAGCTAATTTAACCCATCTTTCATATATTGCCAATTTAGTCGACAAACTACCGTATAGAGCGTCCCTTGCAGACCCTGCCACTCCCTTCTGCAGCACTTTTTTTTTTGTTTCACATTCATATATCTACGCATACATGCTTGTAGGTAAAGCTAATTTAACCCATCTTTCATATATTGCCAATTTAGTCGACAAACTACCGGATAGAGCGTCCCTTGCAGACCCTGCCACTCCCTTCTGCAGCACTTTTTTTTTTGTTTCACATTCATATATCTACGCATACATGCTTGTAGGTAAAGCTAATTTAACCCATCTTTCATATATTGCCAATTTAGTCGACAAACTACCGGATAGAGCGTCCCTTGCAGACCCTGCCACTCCCTTCTGCAGCACTTTTTTTTTTGTTTCACATTCATATATCTACGCATACATGCTTGTAGGTAAAGCTAATTTAACCCATCTTTCATATATTGCCAATTTAGTCGACAAACTACCGGATAGAGCGTCCCTTGCAGACCCTGCCACTCCCTTCTGCAGCATTTTTTTTTGTTTTACATTCATATATCTACGCACACATGGTCGTAGGTTAAGCTAACTTAACCTATCTTTAACAAATTGCCAATTTAGTGGACAAACTTCCGTATAGAGCGTTCCTTGCAGACTCTGCCACTCCCTTCTGCAGCACTTTTTTTTGTTTCACATTCATATATCTACGCATACATGCTCGTAAGTTAAGCTAATTTAACCCATTTTTAATATATTGCCAATTTAGTCGATAAACTTCCTTATAGCGTCCCTTGCACTCTGCCACTCCCTTCTACGGAACATTTTTTTTTGTTTCACATTCATATATCTACGCATACATGCTCGTAGGTTAAGTTAACTTATATAGGTTAAGTTAAATATGGGTTATATTTAATATATTGCCAATTTAGTCGACAAACTTCCGTATAGAGCAGAGCGTCCCTTGCAGACTCTGCCACTCCCTTCTGCAACACAAATTTGCTGTCCACATTCATCTTTCTACGTGTCCCCACCCAAGTATTCCTTTCTTATTCCTAGTCACAACATATTCTTGCAAACCCCACTTTTATCTTATCGCATAATTTCTCACCTTGTCATTCAGGGTCAGCCCTAACATATTTCTAAATGACCACATTCCTAGTAGTACTAAAGGTAAATCTTTTGAAGCTGTGAACAGCTTATGTATACTGGATTATTGCTGGCTAGTGATGATAGCTTTGATTTTCTATACAAAGATGGCGGCACCAAACATTCTACGCTACGTTATATTATTATAGCGGCGTATAGCATCAAACCGTAAAATTGTTTATGCAATTAAAAATCACGCCGTAATCAATAACCTGCAATTGACTTTCACTCGTTGATTAGATGCAGTGTACATTAAATTTGACACCCAAAACCCCATTATTAATAATGTACTTACTTTCATGTTTAATAATACACATTGGCCAAGTCAATTTATCTTGTTAAATTATATCTTGGTCAATAACTGTGATTAAGGGTTAGGGGGCATCCATAAATTACATTACGTTTGTCAAATGTGACATTGTGTGACAGGGGGGGTTAAAAGATATGTAACGTCACATGTTCAAATCTAAAATACATAGAATTATTAATTCTATGCTAAAATACTAAATCGCGAAATTTATACGTAAACCAAAATTTTAAAAATATGATGATTAAGTTTTGTACCTTTTATTAACATTATTAATCGTTTATAGTTTTATAATTGGTCTTTTGTTTTGTCCATTATCTAAAATATTTGACATTATTTTGATTTTATTAAAGATATTATTTTTAATTTAACTAAAAAAAAATGGGAAAAGCTGCCGTTTTAATTTAATTACATTTGAAATATAAAATTGAAAATATGTGACGTCACATATTGTATGACGTAACTTATGGATGGCCCCTTAGTATCGCTAACCGAAATGTACCAATGTTGCTCAGCACTTAACTACGTGCTTGTCGTTTTACATAAAGCAGTTCTTTTAGAGACTATCAAAAGTCCATTGCTGAACATAGGTCTCCCCTATAGATTGCCTCATAGAGAGATATTTGTCACGCGCTTGCATCTTTATTTTTGAGTTGTTATAAATATATATTCGTATACTATTCCGTCCGTCCGTTAGTCTCGCTAAGACTCGAAAACGTCTCGATTGATTTTGATGATTTATTTGTGTGCATTTGATTGGGTCCCTAGATGGTTTAGATTCACAATTGGACCTGGTAGGTGGCGCTGTTGCTGAGACCCAGAAATCATTCGTGCGAAGTCGGGGCGGATCACTAGTATATAATATAACACCGTTGCCAATCTCCAGTTTCATTTCCCTCTATTGCCTCTTACGACACCCACGGAATGATATGAGGTAGTAGATTATCATACAGTGCAACTACACAGCTATACTAAATAACTAACTACTTGTATTAAGTTAAGGGATAAAATTAACTTTTTTCTAGGTAGCAAAGTACTTGTACTTTTTCAAGTATTTAATATCTTTGATGGAAAGTATTGTTTTAAGGTGAAGTATTGAGGAGCGAAATATTCCAAGGACCTTACAACGATGGCGTGTATAGCAGTATTGCTTTGGAAACACTGAATCTTGCTCACAACGAAATACACTCATTAGACAGATATTTGTTCCAACACACGCCGAACCTGACTCGCTTATATCTGAACAACAATCCTATAGAAATACTTGACCACGTCACCGTCCTCGCTCTGTCCAGTGCTGTCAACTTGGAAGTAAGTCATCAATATTATTCACGAACTATAGATATATAGATAGACGGAATAACGGAAAACTTATGAACTACAAACGGTGGGCATATCGCTTTAAACGATTTCTACCAGAGAAACATGTAATGTTGAAAAATTGAAACATGTAAAAGACATTGTAATTGTATTAATAACTAGGTTATACCCGCTCGATTCTCTGCTGCTCACAATAATATTTTATTGCGGAACCTATTAATTTTTTTTACGGTACTATCGTAAAATCCGTTCTTAGTGAGCGTCTACATTGTCAAATAAGTAACTATAAGGATGTACAGTTTTAAGATCATCAAGTCAGTGGTATATATATATATATATATATATATATATATAATATCCATTTCGTAGCATAAACAAAATATTAACCATAAGTTTCTGACTGATATGTAATATAGAGCCGGGGTAGCTCAGTGGCTAAGCGCTCGCTGTAAATTTCGCAGTACGCCAGCAACCCGGGTGCGATCCCCGATGGCCCCAATGAAATTGTTAAATGCAATTTTTAGTGCTGATTTACCACGTGCTCGGCGGTGAAGGAAAACATCGTGAGGAAACCGGTATGTCTGAGAAATAAGAAAAAAAATATTTTCTAAGACATGTGAAGTTCACCAACACGCATTGGCGCAACGCAGAGGACATTTTCTTGCCCTAAAACCCTCTCAGAATTGAGAGGAGGCCTGTGCCTTTAACTTTATGTAAAATAGACAGATATCGGTTCATTTTGTCTACCTGACGATTAATGGACTATTCGCATTTATGTGAAACTATTACGTATTAAAAATAGATAACCCAGATAGCATCATATATAATATACACATAGTAAATTTGTTTTACTAAAAGTTGTAATGTTCTCAATAAATAACTAATTACAAATTGTTACCTAATACTTGAATTACATAAAAGAAACTTCATTCCAGTCAATATGTTAATTTATGCATCTCTAAAATTATAACTAAAATTTGATTTACCTCTGAATAAATAATATAGGTTTTTTATCACACGATTCACAAGAGAATAATATGAAAGAATTCTATACATGACAAGTTCACAAAACTTTCATGTGACTACAAAATCATGGTTAACAAGTAAATTATTATTAAAACAAAGAAACCGACTGCAGTATCAAATGGGTGTAATATGACAGGTTCATCAGAAAGACAATAATCATGTGATGCTCTGATTATTGCAAGTAAATTGTAATATAAAATACAAGGCTCTTAAGTTACATGGCTATACGTGGTAGAGCCATGGTGAAACTATATTATGGTTGTAGCACGAATGGGACTCGACCGGGGAAGGACCACGCACTCACAGAATACTAGCGTAAAATAGCAGCTTAATGCTGCCGTGTTTTCGTATGGTGAGTTTAGAGAATCGGATAACCTCTCATCATCTTAGTACTCAAGGGTGACAACGCATCTGCATTTTGATTCTTAATCGAGGAGTTAAATGTCCATGGACCACAGCAACCACTTACCATCAGGTGGACTGTGTGCTCCTTTGTCACCCTTATCCGTTATAAAAAATGTTTTGTCATTACACAATTATACTTTTATTCTTCGTCAAAGCAATTGAGAAAATGTCAAAGGCTTATTTTAAGATAATTATTATGATCAGGCGTTACTTTGCAGAAATCCATTATATTAAAGGTGTTCAAAATTGGATAAGATCCGTCGCGTAATAAAATTAAAATGTGTCTTACCTAGTTTGCATAGGTTATTTTATAATCATTCAAATAGTTGCCACTGTAAACTGTGTTTGTCACCGTTATCTTATAGAATAAAATAAAAATACTAAATTATTCCGACACAGTCACAGCGTATACGTACGATAAAACAGGACTCACAAACTTAATTTAAATTCAAGTGTAAGATAAAATTCTGCACCTATACCATTTACATCAATTGGCATATCGAGAAAAACATAATTTATCTTAAACAACAGCATAAGTTGTTAATACACCTGTTATCAGCGAACCAGGTTTGAATTATTATACCAGTCTCAAACAGGATCATAAGTTGTAATCGGAAATTTCCCTTTGACGCAAGTTACAGAAAAAATTATATCTACATTAGATTAGAACAACAGAAAACCGAAACAAGTGTAAAAGACGGATAAACTAAGAAAATCAAGCAAATAATGATAGTCTATACTCGTTATACGAGGGTGACACTGAAAGTTCTTAGAAAATTAAAAACTGAACAAACTAGCAAGTTTTAGTTTTATTATATCTTTTCGAAATAGTGTCCATTTACATCAATACATCGCTGCATCCGATAGAACCACTGAGAAAAGCACTTTGCCCGCTCGTCCTTAGAGGTCTCTTCGACGGCATTTTGAAACGCAGCCACTGCTTCCTCGGGTCCATAAAACGTTTTCCAAGTTTTTCTTTTATTTTCGGAAATAAATAAAAATCGCAAGGTGCGAGGTCGGGGCTATAGGCGGGTGACCCAGTAATTCCACGTCTGACGTCGCCAAGTAGTCGAGACGAGGCGTTGTCGTGGCGAAGGAGGAGCCTACTGCGATGTCGTTTCTCCAGAACATTTTCCAAGACAAGTGGCAAACAATTGTTAGTGTACCGCTCTGCAGTAACTGTTTTTCGATCCTCTAAAACAATTGTTGTCCTTCCGAGGAACGGGGCCACCATATTTTTTCCCACGCTTCGACCTCTCTTCACTTTAGTTGGCAACTCCTCGGAAGGAAACACCCAGACAGCAGACTGTCTCTTAGTTTCAGGATCATAACAATAAATCCCGCTTACGTCATCCGTAAGTATGTCGAACACAGCATTTGAGTCACCTCCGTTAAATCTTTGAACCATTTCACGACACCAATTAACACGACGGAATTTTTACGCCTCTTTCAAATTATGAGGTATCCACAGGGCACAAAGCTTCCTGACCGCTAAATTTTCAAGGAGGATTTTGTGCACTTGTCTCATACCGATGTCTAAGCTTGTCCGAATATGCTGATAAACCACTCTTTTGTCAGTCTCTATCATACGCCGCACAACACTGATGTTATCGTAGAAGTCGTCGTCGTAGAAGGTCGTCTCTCACGCAGATCATCGGTGAGATTAGTGCAACCACGTTTAAACTCATTAAACCAGTTGTAAACAGTGACACGAGATGGGGCTTCATCGTGAAAGGCCAATCGAAGTTTATCATAACTTTCTTGTTGACTTAAATGACATCGAAAGTCATAAAAAATCATTGTACGAAAATTTTCTCCCGTTAAATTCATGCCGACCTGACACAGACAATTTTCAATTTGCCGCTAAATCGTAAACAAAGCACAAATTTATAAAATAAAGACACAATGATATTGGCAAAGAGTTCCATTTTCAAAATTTGAACTTATTTTTTTATTATATCGTTTACAAGTGGCCAGTTCTAAAAACTTTCAGTGTCGCCCCCGTATGAATTAATAAATTTTGGAAGTAGTTTACATTTAAATTATTACTTTAATGTTGTTTACGATAACTAGGTTATATGAGATAACATCGAAACATATGATTAGATTTTATTTGCAGTATCATTCAAGTACAGACACTTTATATGCACCTGCTGATGAAAGAATAATTATTGCAGATTGCAGTATTGCAGGTTACTGTGGTGGTGTAAGAGAATCAACCACACCGTGTTCGAAATCAGCTGAGAGTAATAACACAAAAATATCATGTCCTCTAACAGATAAGGGGAAAGGGAAACCCTCAGATATAGAGGCAAGCCGTCCCGTCAAGCCTCGTCCGAGTAATCCGCTTGCCGTGATTTTTTGTGAATGCCCCGTTAATTATTGTAATAAAATTTTATGGAAAATATTTAATTACCTTTTTAATATTATCGATAATATTTAATTAAAATATTTGATACTAAGGCAGAGTTAATGCTCTATTTTAATTTTAGGTACATAATGCTCAATAAAAAACTATTTTACGGACTGACATTTTCACGAATAAGAGACTTATTGATAAAACCTAGGTATATAAGTAGGCTGTTACTTTATTATCTTGATTATAATGTCAATTTTATTGTATATGTTCGTTCGTTTAGCTGATTGAATTAATGTTATGAGTAATGTTACTGATACGCACATGTAATCGATTGATAAAAACATTTAAAAACGGTATAAATACTTATTGACAAATAGTATAAAATGAACGTTCGTAGTATAAGTGATATCTAAATATATCAATACTTTTTAATGAATGAAAGAGTGATTTAATTAAACGATATGCAAATTATTTCTACTATAAATATTTTACGTCAATATTAATTTTAAAGAGTGTTTCTGTTATGTACGAAATTTCAGGTTCTAGATTTGGCGAACGTCGATATCGATTCGATACCTCTGGACGCTTTTAGGGGCCTGATGAATTTGCAGCAAATCGATTTGTCTGGTAACAAGTTCGTCAATGTTCCGGAGAGCTTGAGCCTGGTCGGCAGCACTCTTCAGTATCTGACTTTCAACAACAATCCAATAGTGGAACTCAACGATGACAGCTTCGTTGGTACGTTAAAATTATATATTTTTAATATTAAGTTAATGGCAAGTATCAAAGATTCTACGTTGTTTAGTGTGACTATTACAAACGAAGAGACAAAAATATAAAAGAACTAAAAATATTTAAAAAATATCTAAAATTTAAGGATGGATTTACATAAGAATTTAACTCAAATTCTGCAACAAGTAACCCTATATCATAATATTGTAACATATATATTTCTATACGTAATATGTAGTAAGACAGTATTGACTACATGATACCATTTATAAAACTGGATTGTAGCGTTAAAACAGGAGCATAATGTCAATGTAAATATAAGCAACACACTGTTTGTTTACCCGCACGCGATACATGGTTAAATGGTGTTATTTATGAAATTAATTTAGTTTAAAGTAGATATTTCCATTCTTTACTACTTTTTGAAATAGCTCTAACATGGAAAGGGTGCGAGTCGCGATAAAAACTATTTATAGCTCCGACACCAACAAATATAGAAAATCATATAAAGACCAATCTATGCGTTTTTATTTAATCATAAACTGATTGCAATGACGATAGTAAACAGAATTCCTAACTACTAAATCAAAAGTTCTGTATTCAAATCGCCGAAGTCCACATTTGATCAGAAACACAAATTGCTGGTCTGTTTGCGTTCTGATTTTTCCGCGCCTCTAACGCTGTATTATAATGATTCTGATTTATCAAATAAGCGTTAAACTTACGTAGTAAGTAATCCGTGGTTAAGCTAACAACAGGCACAGATTAATTGATAATGACGGGTTTACTCTTGTTGAGAATAAACGTAAGAAGGAGACCCACCTGTAACCAGCGTGGGACTGACAAAATAAACGCAAGTACAACTCTGCGTGTTGTGGAGTCCACTATACAGCTCTACATTTCCCGTTTGGACACAAGTACGTCGGGAGAAAACGTCCTGCGTTTCGTGTAAGAACGAAGCCGATACCGCATTGAGGATCCGGTCCCTTTACATTTGCAGCGTCTGGAGTCTAATAGGTCAACGAACTTCAAATCCTACGTACTCCAGGTTCCTGGCAAAATACAAAGAGACATTCCTCGCTCCTGATTTCTGGCCCTCTGTGGTAGTATTTCGCCGATACAGGGACACGCCAAAGAAGAAAGTTCCCTAAATAGTATTAAGTTATATTTGTGTTTTGTATATATTTTTAGGTTAAGGTATATATTTCTAAGGGCTAATGTTCTTAATGTTTAAGTTCTTAACGCCTGTAATAAGTTATAGAATTGTATTGTATTACGAAGAAAAAGGAAAAAGAGAAATCTCAGTATTTCCGCGGACACTTAAGTCACAGTTGATAGCTTCCACCCAGGAGGACATCGTGTACCTAATAAGGTTCAAAATGTCCCCACGTTTATGACAATATGTACAAACATAATCTGGTCAAGATTCCTGCAAATTGCAGGCTTTTTGTTAGGAAAAATGAATGCCTTTGTGTTTTCGTGCACATTCATGGCACAATATGTCATGCGCAATTGATAACCTCTAATGATATTTTTGGAATCGGCCATCATGAAAGGCTAGGATGCATTATAATTCGTCTTACACATTTAACACTTCTAATTGCCGTCGATATAGCCAGCAAATCTTATCTGGTCAAAATTACGTTTGAGTTTATAGGTTTTGATAGGTTACAGGAAAACTCGGAAACTGGTTACCTAACGTTTTTAATTTATTGTTATGTAAGTACATTCTAATTGAATGATGCAAGAAGACGCTCGTAACTTTCTATCGACCGTATTAATGAAATATTATCTGAACATTTGTAAGACATTTAAATCAAAAGAGTAAAACAGCTTAGTTGTTGCTTCACTATCTAGTGAAGTCTCTCGTAAAATTTATAATCTATACAAATAAATAAAATTTAAGTGTCTGATTGTAATGTCCAAATAACAGTTTTTTTACTAAATGCATAATTATGAAAGTATTCACGGTACGTATAACAAAAAAAAATCAACTTTTAAAATTTTTGCCTGCCTGTCTGTCTGTTTGTTCCGGCTAATCTCCGAAACGGCTGGACCGATTTTGACGGGATCTTCACTGGCAGATAGCTGATATTATAAAGAGTAACTTAAACGATTTGTTTAGTAAAAGAAATAGGGTTCCGCGCAATCGTAACATGCCACGCGGACGAAGTCGCGGGGAAGAGCTAGTTCTCAATATAATTATTTACTTGTCACTCTCTTGACTAACTTGAAATTGGCAAATTTCTATCAAGAGAAGCCATACATTCCAAAAAAATATTTCACATGTGCATGTCGAATTTAATGATTGTACTCATGGTCAATGATTTTACTACTAAACAATATTGAGGCGTGGTGACCGTTGATTAAAAAAAGCTACAAAAACCACTTTGAAATGTGTAAGCATCTGTGATGATTCAAATCCCAGTCGAAGTCAATAACGCTTGTGCAAATTAACACACATTGCTTTTCGCATCTGGTGGTATTGTGACTGTCACCGTATTTGATGTAATGTGCAGCTAAGATCACGAATAGGAGATGAAATATAATTGAACTCAGTCCCGTGTTTTTTTATAGGATAGAGTGACAAACAAGCACACAGTCCACTGGTTGCTGTGAATCAAAGACATCTACATCTATCCTCAATAAAGAATCAAAATGCAGAAGCGTTGTTACCCGTGAGGACTAAGATGGAATGCCTCTTTTCCAGTAAAAAGAGTCTCCGGTTCTCTACACTCACCATACGAAACACAGCAGTGTTAAGCTGCTATTTTACGCTGATATTCTGTGACAGCGTGGTCATTCCTCGGTGCTACAACTATAATACTAATATAGTTGCAGCATGGCTCTACCACGTGTAAAACCGTTAGCGCAAACCGTACTTATATAACATATATAACGTATGTTTGATTGACCTTAGTTTGATTTCTAAAATGGGCTTACCGTTAATTATCCATCTGCCCCTAAAAGCCCAAAGTTGAACATATAGACCTCTCTCGTAATAGAAGGATTATCACTATGTGTACCATTATTGTGGCTAGTTGAGTTATGATTATTAAACCCGTTTCAGTGCTACTGCCGCGAACGTTTTTTTTTTTATATAAGATAGGGTGACAAACGAGCACACAGTCCACCTGATGGTAAGTGGCCACTGCGACCCATAGACATCTACATCTGTCCTCAATAAAGACTCAAGATGCAGATGCGTTGTCACCCGTGAGGACTAAGATGGAATGCCTCTTTGCCAGTAAAAAGGGTCTCCGGTTCTCTACACTCACCATACGAAACACAGCAGCGTTAAGCTGCTATTTTACGCTGGTTTTCTGTGAGAGCGTGGTCCTTCCCCGGTCGAGCCGACCCATTCGTGCTACAACTATACCACTAATATAGCTGCAGCATGGCTCTACCACGTACGTTCCTTCAAATGTAGGCAGCGTTTCATTGGATACGGGAAGAGACGGAGGTCGGGGCGGAAGGCAATTGCCTTTAGTTTTAAGCATACACACAGTATAACGCCGCGTCTCCACCAAAGTTTTGTTACCAACTGTTGTGTTGCCAACACGTGTTGGTAACAAATGTTTCTGTAATTACCTAGTGTTGGCAACAAAACTTGAAACAATGTCGGGAACCGTGTTTCCATTTTCGGTGGCAACATACAAGGAATACGCTTGTTGCAAACATTTGTTCCCTCGGTGGAGACACTTGTTGGAAACATTTGTCGGCAACATCGGAAACAAATGTTGGTAACTTTTGTTGAGTTGTAAACAGTTGGAAACGTAAATGTTGTCGACATTTTTGGTGGATACTGCACTTTAAATATGTCAATAGCACAAGGGTAAAACTCCAGCGGAATAATTGTTTGTAGGCCATACATAATATACTTATTTTGTACGGGATTTGAACCTATCAGCGCCGCAACTCTCTATCTATGTGTCGGTCTTGCATATATAGACTATGAGAAAAGCCGTTAATGCTATATGTTTTTACAACACGTTCGCACTATGCTTTTACGGCAATGCCCTCGCCTATGCATTGGATGGAATTATACGACCTCATTACCCTCAATCGTTGTCTCTATTCCGCTCTTCATTTCATAATTACAAACATATCTAATAATCTTTAATGATAAACATCGTGATAAAAGTAACATTAAATTTTTCTTTTAATATTATATTATCCTATTGTATTATTTTACAGCGATTGCTTCTCTCGTTCAATCCCATCGGCAACATCGAAATAGTTAGTTGCAGTTTTAAGAGTTCCTTTATCACGTGCCGTAAAAGCTTAGTGAAGCAAAACGTCCTAAGAAAGGCTATATATGTGAGGAATAAAAATAATTCGAAGACATGAAGTCCACCAACACGTAGTGGAGCAGAGCGGCGGACTAATTGCAGCATGAGTTCATAAACCACTCGGAAATGAGAAAAGAATCGTGCCGACGACAGTGGCACATGTATACATACACATATATGCAGCCTATGTATACATACAAAGGCTGCAGCTTTACTTTTTCTTTACTTTTTTTTCGTGACATTAGCATCCGATACTCAATGTTTTTGACTCGAATATTTAATAATAATTATTTAAATAGATGAATAATGATAGTTTTGTTTATTTTTTAATTTTATCTATACAAATAAACAAAATTGAAGTATCTGTTTGTAATGTCTTAACAGCTTTGGACTAGATGCATATGAAAATATATACGGTACTTATATAAAAAAAACATATTTTTAAGCTTTTAGTCTGTCTGTTTGTTCCAGCTAATCTCCGAAACTGCTGGACCGATTTTGACTGGTCTTTCACTGGCAGATAGCTAATGTTGTAAAGAGTAACTTGGGCGAACTTTATTTTAGAAAAATAGTTAGGGTTCCGCGCAAAAAAAATTAAAACCCATGAAATTCAATCGTAATAAAGTCCATGCGGGCGAAGGCGCGGGGAACTGTATATGAATAGATAATAGATATAATATTTGAATAGATAATTTTTTTATTTATTTGATATAAAATTCTTGTTTTACTCAATAAAAGAAATATGTTTGTATACGAAACTGTGGTAGAATACAAGATACCTACTCTCAATTTTACTACTTACTATTAAGTAAGTAGGGTAAATGAGAGAATGAATTATATTTTTATTTTATAGATACTCTAAGGGAAAGAAATATTCCTTGATGATGAATATATTAAAAAAATCAATTAAAAATTATAACACGCAGGGTTGACAAATCTAGTACAACTGGAAGTCGGTGAAAATGTTTATTTGGAGGAAGTAAAAAGGAGTACGTTCACGCCACTTAAGAAGTTGCGGGTGCTACATCTCTGTCACAATCCTAACCTAAGATATATAAGCCACAATGCCTTCAGAGGTTTGAAGGAAAAATGGACGTTGAAAGAGGTACTATAATATGATACAACAACCTTAAATATTTCCTGGTGCTTTGCACAAATAATAATGTCCCTCAGACCAAATTTCGGTCACCCCGGCCAGTCTCAACTGACACCAACCATCTGAGCAGGAAAGGATTATAGTGCCCGAGTGTATGCGCAAGCACATGTGCACTCTCTATTCCCTCACTCTCATAGTCCGAACGTGCGGTAACCCGTCCACGACCGGAAAGAGATCAGGCGCAATCCCGACATCTTTACGTGCTTCCCGAGACACGGGAGTGAAACACCGCAAACTTCCTGACACCGGAATGCTACTGCGAATTTCTAGATAGAAAAACTCAATAGATTATTATAGATGTTTTAATCCGACCCGGGATTTGAACCAGGGACCTAATGATCACCAGTCGCGTTTATGACCACTAGACCCTTTGGTCTAGTGGTCATTGCACTAGAACAAAAATAGAGCATATTTCTGAAAGTATTGTACACCTAATTAATGTAACATAAAATTAGATGATGCAGAAATGCATGATCAATTTATATAATTTCTTTTTTATACCTAAATACCATTTTAAATGATATTTTTATGAAAACTAGTCTATAAGAATTTATGTATTTTTAGTTTTTATATATACGACATATTTGTAGTAAAATATCTGTGCTTGTAGTTTGAGATTATTTAATTTTCACTTTCACAATATAAAGTAGTCATGCTTAACTATTACTTTAGTTAATTCAATACAATAAATATAATTATGGTGTATTAACACGAATTTGCTACTTTATCTTGCAATCACACAATGTAATCAAAACAGTGCGAGCAAGTTTTATTGGCCCACTTTGGAATGCTTACATGACAGCTTTTTAACTGGGTCAGCTGATTAATCATTTATGCTTATTTTAATACCAATCAATTTGTTGCAAAATTTATCTTAAAGGATGGACAATAAATTTGACTACTGTGCATATAGTATGTATGTCACGTTCATCATCATCATTACAGCATATCAAAGTCCACCTCTGAATACAGAACCCCTCCATAGATTGCTTCATAGAAGGGATATATGCAATAGTAGCCACGGTTGGCAGGCAGATTGGCAACTGAAGTTTTTTTATTATTATTTCATGTTGTTATCAGGAAGACGCTGCTGTATTTCAGTATCCTCTATCGCCTCATGGCACATGAGACCCATGGGGTGATACGAGGTTGTGGATTTTCTTACACCGCTACTTCACTTAAGGTCATGTAATGTAATTTTAATGATAAAATTTCCCTATCAGGTTTACTTAGATGACAACAATTTGAGTGAACTGTCCACGGACTTAATGCCATGGAGTAAATTAGAGATACTAGGAATGACGGGTAACAATTGGCTTTGCAACTGTGACTTAGCAAATATCATTACAAAACAGGAGGCCGGCACCAAATTCAAACCAGGAGAAATTCCATAGTTAGTATAAATAAGACTTTACTAACTTATTTTAAATACATAAATATGTATGTATTATGTATTGATCTAACAAAGCAGATAAAAATGTATTAATTAGTAATAATACTGTAGTAAAAGTAAAAAAAAAATTCTTTTGCCATACAATAATTTCATGTTATAATGTCATAATTTTGAAATATTTCATATTTTCAGTTGTGCTGCACCAATGAAATTTTCCGGAACTTATATAACAAACATAACACTGAATTTCTGCCCCACATTTGACTCAACTTATACTACAAAAAAAGACTTCTCTATTTCTAGCTTAAGGCCAAAACACATATTGTGGAGCATTTTTGGTGTTGCCGTTATAGTATGTGCTGGTATGTTGTTAGGACTTCTAGTGAACACAATGAAGGCTTTCTATAATAAAAAAATAAGAAGTCAGCCAATTCGTTATATTAATCTTCACTCGGATTCAAGCTTTGCTTGATTATAAAAGTATATCTACCTACACAAAAATTGTGAAAATAAATTACTTCTATACAGCATTGAATAAAGTATTAAATTGTTATCATATATTATGTTTATTGATTAGTGATAAGAATAAATATAATGCAATTAATTATGTTTTGTTACTTTAACTCACCTCTTTCGGGCCAGAAAGCGAATTTGCATAATGAAGAAACTGTTCTAATAATTTTTCTGATTTATGTGACAATTCTCTGAATGTGTGAAATTCATCAAGTTTGTGTGCACAACTTCCACACACTACCTGTGGCAGCATATCTGATGGAGAAACCTACAAAACAATATTTTTTAAATGTCAGTATATCAGATACATTAGTTTCACAATAACTCAGTCATTCAAAAAGATGATGTGGCCAGTGACCTTTTGAGAGTATAATCATAGATAATGAGTCATTGCTAGGTAATTTGATAATAAACAACATGAAAATATCCTTCTACATATTTAATTAATATTCAAAGAGCATATAAATAACTTGTTTTTATTGAAATTAAATCCAAAAACACTGTGAATGTAGTCCCCCACATTAAAGAATGTATCTAAAATTAGAGGATGTTGATTCTGAAAATAGCAGTGTATGTGGTTAAAATGAGAATATGCAGAGTGTAGGGTACATTAGTTTTGTTTAGGGCGAAGATATGAAAGTGGTGAGGGGCGGGCGGGCGGAACGTTCAAAGAAACAGAGCGCGATGATCTCTGCGCGCTCCTTTGTTATCAGTGGTAGCTGATACAGCGACCACCACCCGCCTCGCCTATCAGTTCCACGAACGACATTAGTCATTCGCTCGAGACTCGACGCGTGGGCCGTAATATGATATCACAATGCGAAAATACCCAACACCCGCGAGAAAGTTAATGGCGCTTATCAGTATCCACAATCTCTTACGCTTAGACTAAACTTTCACATGGTAAAACGGCATCTTTTCAGTGGTCAGAGATAAAAAACTACATATTGTATTACCATTATCGATAAATATGTCATTATCATCTCAGAGAGACGTGATTTATCCTTATCACGGTCGAATATTGGAACTTTAACATCACTGCAATTATCGCCACAGAATGATAAACAAAGGCGACACACTGAATGGAACTTCGGCGGCAAATTACACATATTTAGAAACCAAAATAGAAAAACGTGATCACAATGAAAGAAAACATTTAGAAATCAATGTTTTGGCTAATACAAAAATTAAAGTTTTGTTGAAAATATAACTCGGCATGCGATGGTGTTTAATACATCACATCGCGATTGTCAACCAAACGAACGAGCAAGCCACACACACACGCACACATCCTTAGAAACAGCCCATTGTTTACGGTACGCTGATTAATGCGCGTGTATGCGCATGATTATGGCGCTAGTGTTCGTATATTTGACATACTGATAAAATGATAACATTGTCAAGTGACTTCTGCTATCAGTAATGTATCAGTATTATTCATTATGTGATTTGATCGGCCTATTTTAATTTATTTGCAAAAAAGTTGTTATTAAATCTATTTCGTATTTACTTTCGTATTAAAGAATTGTTTTTATATATTTCAAAACAAAGCATTTAGCGTCTATTGGCATAGAGTAAGACCAAAGGTAGTAAATAGTGATTTATATACTCTGTGGCCCAGTCCGCCCAGTCTTCACTATTTAGCTTAGTGTAATCTCAGATTAAATTGTAGTCTTCAATTAAATTGTATGTTCTTTGAATAAACAGGTCAAAGGACCAATCCTAATCAAGAAACATACTATTCGGCGGAGGGATGGAACCAGATCTTTTGATATTTATGTTTTAATTGTTCTGTGGATATGTTACATTTGCCTATAGAATTTAATGGTTACATCTATGCTACTATTAAAAAAACTATATTTCCTTCTCTCTTGCTTACTACTTACACGCTTAGAAGAGCAAGAAAAACTTTTTTGAAATAGGTACTACAATTCGAAATGTTAATGTCAATGACATTCTTAGAACAATACTCAAGAATTAAATTACGTGAACTACCTTTGTACCTATTTATATATATATAAATCCTATAAGATGTGAACACACAAATAGTATATAATCGCTACGTTTTATAACAGACTTGTTTGTTTGGTAATAGAGTCGTATTAGTGATTCGACTCGAACTCTGTTTTCACATGAGTGCCTCGAGTGAATTTGTCTAACTCGGAACACGAGGGAGAACAAATTTTACTCGAGTCCACTTGTATTCGAGTTACCGTGTCAATTTGGTGCACCGGGTAGATTCGGTGAGCACTAGATAGGTGCGACTTCAGCAGTTCACTTGTAGTTTAAGTATGAAAGTATAAGTTTAAAACGTGAGTTATAACAATAAAACAAAAATCTTCTGTGTGGCTTTGTTTTGAAAAATTAATAAACAAAAAAAAGTGTTTTGCAAGATATGTAAAAAGCAGTATTAAGATTTCGGAAATTTGTAGTATTTTACAATATTACTGCTTTTTCATGAAAAAAAAACATGGAAATACTGTCAATAAATAAATAATAAATATTTGTATTTTATTTCATATTGCCACATAATGCTTACTTAATGAAGGTACCTAACCTAACCTAACCTATTTAAAAATGATTAAACTGAAGTAATCATAACTCTCAACTCGAGTGATAAGCTTTTGTTCTATGCAGGGGCATTGGGCAACACGAGCCGCCGACGTACCGGGCATGCAGGGACTGTAAATAGTTGTAACTCGAATACAACTCTAGTGATGTAATAAATTAACCCGAGTGAATCGAGTCATAAAATCCTACTCGAGTCGAATCTTCAATTCATACGGTGTAGTTTTGCCAATGTCAAGTATTATTAAATCTTACTGAACTCCTCCGGCTGGACCAATTTTGATGACAATTTTTGTGTGTATTTGAGTGGGTCCCTAGATGATTTAGATTCACAATTGGACTCGGTAGGTGGCACTGTTGTATGATCCAGAAATCACACGTGCGAAACTGGGGCGGATTGATAGAAATTCTGTATATTAATTTGTTTAAAAACTTCTTCATGATATGTTGATGCGTAACGTTGCAAAGTTTTTGGAAGATTTGAACGGCAACTCGTGCCAGCAGACAGTAATAGTTAATATGCGCACCAAAACTCGTAAGAATTTATTATGCCGGAACATAATATAATGAGACAAAATACGCTAGACTAGGCTAATACATTTGTTTATACTTGACAAAAGACAAGCATGAATTACACGCAACATCTTTATATGTGTTTGTCTCTTTTAATCTTATTAGAGAAGGCGAGTTATGCATATTATAATTATTAAGTATGTATGTTATTAAAAGAGCCTTATCGTCATTACAGCCCTTCACAAGACCACTGCTGAACAAAGGCCTCCCCCAAGAAATGCAACAAAACACGGTCCTGAGCCACTTCCATCGACTTCTTGCATATCTTGAAAGTTCGTTACTCCATCTAATGGGGGGATGCACTATACTTCGTATACTGGTATGAGGCTGCCACTCGAGAAGCTTTCTTCACCATTGGTTGTCGGTTCTTCGAACTTTATGGCCGGCTCATTGCCACTGCAGCGTACTAATCCGTTGAGCTATGTCAGTTACTCTGGTTCTACTGCGGATATCCTCCTTCTTAAGTCTATCACGCAGAGAAACCCCGAGCATAGCTTAAACCATAGCTCACTGATTGACCTTGAGCCTCCAAATACGGCCAGCAGTGAAGAACCATGTCTCAGATCCATAGGTTATACGCACTGGTAACACGTACTGGTTGAAAAATATTGTTTTAAAGTTTTGGGGTATGCCTTACGAGAAGTACTAGTAAGTAATCCACCGAACGCTGCCTAGCCCAGTTGAATCAGTCTATTGACCTCTCGGTCGAAGTTGGACCCTATATGGACTATTTGTTCCAGGTAAATACTCGTCAACGACTTTGAGCTTAGTGCACTCAACAACTACCGGCATAGGTGTGACATGGACGTTGGGAGGCACTATTGAGGTCATTGAGCATAGTGCCAAGATAGTCGATAAATCGAAGGTAAGTGATGTACTCGCCATCGATTTTAATACCGTATCCTTTCCAGTACAGCAGCTTAAAAATGTTTTCCAATGCAGCAGTGAAGAGTTTTGGGGATATAATGCCACCCATTCTTACACCTCTTTGCCGTTGGATAGGTTTCGTACTCTGGTTCTGAATTCAGCTAGACATCGTATCCCTACTGTACAAACCCTTCAGCACTTCGATATACCGACAGGCGACAGTAAACTTGGCATCGCGGAAGGGACTGTAGCACCGTCCAAATTCCAACGGAATCAAAGGCTTTCTCATAGTCCACGTACGCAAGATATAGTGGCAGATTGTACTCCTCGGTCTTCTGTACAATTTGCCGAAGGGTATGTATATGGTACATGGTACTAAAGCCTTTTCGGAAACTGGCTTGTTCGGGAGGCTGGAAGTCGTCGACTTGCGTGCACGACGATTCGTAATAACTCTCGAAAACAGCACGTAGACGCGGCTCAGAAAGGAAATTGGTCTGTAGTTCTTCAAGCGAGCGTTGTCACCTTTCTTGGAGAACAAGACCTACGCACTTCTGCTCCACGCGTCCGGAGTAGTACCACCGAGGGTTGAATTAAGCTTCTGAAGGACTAGTTTCTCACCGCTTTCAGAAGCTACGCTGTAATTCCATTCTCGCCTGGGGTCTGCCATTTTAAGGTGATAGAGAACCATTCTGATCTCGCTCAGACTGATGTCCGCGATTTCATAGGTATACAAATAAGACAGTCTACTCTTTTTTAAAAGGTCGACAACGCATCTGCAATTCCCCTGGTGCTACATTGTTTATGGGCGGCAGTAGTCACTTGCCATCAGGTGAGGCGCGTGCTTGTTTGCCCTCTCTTCTATAAAATAATCGAAATAACAAAAGAATTTAGAATATATTTTTGGTAACACAAATGTACTTTTTGGGAACAATAAGTTTATTGAAAAAAATTTTGGGCTCTCAAACCTCGCCCTTTTTTAAAATGCATACAAATTATCACCTCTTTGTTTTTATCCGCAATTTTCAGAGTTTTGCACACCGAATCTGGTTTCAATTTGTATTCTCTTCTATCTACTTTTATAGCCACAGTTCTCATCATCATCAATACATACTTTCAAAAGTCCACTACATAGGCCTTCCCATAAATTGCTTCATAAGTAAATAGCTCCCATATTTGAGGATGACGTGCGTCATGACGAGTATTGTTGCCACACTACGTCTCTGCCTCCTCACTACTTCCCATACACTCGACGAGTGAGTGGCAAGGGGGTTAGAGTACACATAGGCAATTTATAGCGCGCGTATGAGCGATACGTAGATTTAGTATGAACATGCTCATTGTCCGTTATACCAAGCGTAAGAAGGTGTTCTATTGACTGACACATAGATGAAGCGGTTAAATAGTGATGCGCCAAAATTGTCGCCTATGCGACAATATAATTTAGTTACTGGTTGTAAATATTAGGTAGGTGGGTAATAATAAGTTAGGTTTTTACAGATCAATAAAACACAGGTACGAATTTCTAAAACGATGTTTATTAATTAAACACAATAATCTAATTATTTTACCGCCTCTTTAAAAACGTTTAACCTATTTTATAATTATCTTTTTTTTTTCGCTTGATAGCAGTTTTACGTACAAGATAGTTCATTCTAATGTAAAACATATATGGATCTTGTAATATTTATATATATATATATATTTTTAAAGTTATAATAACTAAGAAATTAATTCCTTTAAAAAAAATTCTTAATTTTCTTATTTATTTAACTTTTTCATGTGCATTATTTAGCCATCGGAGATAGCACTTATTCAAGTAATTTTATACAAATGCTTGTGAAATTTAAGAGTGCACTTGACAAAGCCTAATAAAGTATATTCGTATTGGCATAATATACTATATTTCATACATACCTATATATTATACTATATTTGAAACAATACTATGATAGATAAATAAAATACTATATTAGATCACCTATAGGTATAAATCATAGAGTAAACGTAATGGTTATATTCTCTTTGTCATAAAGCAACTTCATACATTCTAGAGACCTATTAAATTAGTGACCATCATCAAGGACAATTTAATATTTGGGAG